CTGCAGACATTAAAGAAAAAAACACGCACAACGTTCTTTTTATATGAAACGCCAAACACTTACAATAATGGCTCTTGTGGTGCAGAGGAACAAACACTTACTTGCATTAAAAACAAACCTGTATGACCACTCCCCGATCCTGTGTGTGTGTGTGTGTGTGTGTGAACAGGATCCCACAACAGAGCCGCACACACACACACACGCGCACACACAGATCCCAGAGGAGCAACAAGTAGAAGAGGTCCTCGTTGAACACGTGTACCACCTCCCTCGCCTCCCTGCAGTAGACTCGTACACTCTCTTACCTCCTACAACATAAGTGCTCTCAAGTTTTTAAAGTAAACTGAAACTCCAAAATCACTGAGACTCACAAAGGTTCTCCGGGGTGGGTATAGTTTCCCTCAAGGACTAAAAATTATCCATAGTTTTCCTGTTCTGTTGTGGTGTTGTGGTAGAGTCGCGCCGCCAGATCCCATCACACAGTCCAGAGAGGAAATACCACTAGCATTTTTTTTTTTGTCTCGTGTTTAACTGCTACTTAGAAAGGCCACTGAAGGGGTAACCTAGATCATGGTATTATTTTTCAAGATTTTTTCCTGGTTTTTTTTTTTCTTCTACTCTCTATCTGTATTATTGAAGAGGTGAAGAGAATTAGTGATTGACGGTTGATGAATAGATATACAGGGAATGTGATGAAGGAGGAGGAGGAGGGGCAGGGAGAGGATGATAGGAGGGAAAGATTGGAGAATAAGTTGAGGATATTGTTCTAATTTGTCCTTATTTTTGTCCGTTTGTCTCTCATTCCCACAAGCCAAGACAATTCTCCCCACATGACAATTCCTCCCCACATGACAATTCCTCCCCACATGACAATTCCTCCCCACATGACAATTCCTCCCCGCAAGATAACTCCTCCCCATAATTTCTCCCCAGAGGTCAACTCCCACAACACAACCCCTTCCCACAACTTCCCACAATTCCTCCCCACAGGACAATCTCGAGCTAAAGCGGTAAGCCGTGGAAATTCTACCCTCAGGAGAAAATCGCCCGCCCAGTTTCTTCTGTTGGCGCAAATAATCATGAAATTGCGCAGACGAAATTCGCAAAAAATATATCGCGTGTGTTCGTGTGATTGTGTAAGACGCCATTAAGATGTTGCTGATTGTGATGAATTAAAGATTTACATTATTTATAATCCTTATTTACATCTTTTACATTCCTTATTTGCATTTACATCTACATTCTTTATTGACAGTTTTTATTCATACACACACACACACACACACACACACACACACACACACACACACACACACACACACACACTCACAAACGCAAAATCTCTCTCTCTCAATTTGGGGTATCATATTAATAGTAATAAAAGACAAACTAGCAAATATTTATAACAGGTTAAACATTAATTAAAATTCAAGTGTTGTAACTTTATTCCAGGTAACAATAATAGCATTAAAAAGACAAAGTATAAAAGTATGAACGTCGATAATGTACCTATGAATGTATGAACGTGTGAAAGTATATATGTATGAAAGTATAAATGTATGAAGGTATAAACGTATGAAAGTATAAACGTTTGAAAATATAAATGTATGAAAGTATAAACGTATGAAAGTATAAACGTATGAAAGTGTAAACGTTTAAAAATATAAATGTATGAAGGTATAAACGTTTGAAAGTATAAATGTATGAAAGTATAAACGTTTGAAAATATAAATGTATGAAAGTATAAATGTATGAAGGTATAAACGTTTGAAAGTATAAATGTATGAAAGTATAAACGTTTGAAAATATAAATGTATGAAAGTATAAAAAGTATATACGTATAGTAAGAATACATTGTGGCATATGATAAATTATACCCAATGTTTTCATCGCTTCAAATAGTAAACTGACGACACATTTTTCACCCTTTATAAATAGACTCATAACTTGTTGGACAGTTCGCGTAAATAATAATTCGCTGTTGAAATATTAAATTAGATATATACAGATTCATACATATATATTTTTAGGTACGTAGATGATAATAGCTGGCAATTAATCACTTTTTATGACTGGTGCTTTTGAGGTTAGGTTAGGTTAGGTTAGGTTCACATTTTGTGTTGTGTTGGTGTGATGATGTTTGTAATGTGAGCTATATAAGGGAATTAAAGTCTAAGAAAAAGCGCAAATGTGTGTGTGTGTGTGTGTGTGTGTGTGTGTGTGTGTGTGCGTGTGTGTGTCATACAAAGAATATAACACAATGTTACTATATTGTCCCGAGGTTGTGTGACTGTATATGAAACTCAATAAACATGTAACACAAGATACAATACAATACCGATGTAAAAACTATGTAATACAATATACACCGGGGGCATGTAATACAGGTGTAATGTAGTACAGTATATGTTTATTACAATATAACCGAGGTACAAGGTAACCCGAGGACAATATAGCCCCAGGACTACAGAGGGAGGCAGTAGGAGCACCTGGGCGGGGTCATGGTAGAGGTCAGGTCAAAGGAGGTCAGGTCAAACAAGAAAGCTACTGACCTTTACAGACAAGACAAATATACCTCATATATACGACTCTTAGGAACCTGTTCATTTTATGTACTTCTACTTCGGTCGAGTGTGTGTGGGGGGGGGAGGGGTGTTCTGAGTGTGAATGAGGGTCTGAGTGTGAGTCTGAGTGTAAAAAAACCCGTAAATATATATAAAAGTTGCATATATTACCTGTCTCTGTGTCCAAAAAAAACAAAGCCAAACCAGCTTACTGGAGATACAAACAACACTCAGTTATTCAAGCCAAGTTTAATCACCTTAGGGGTAAATAACAATAACACCAGTTCATGTAGAGAATATTAAATCACTAAATCAATTTTCAGTCTGATGTAACTCACGCAACTCGTCTACTTTCTTTTAAGATGAGATTGATTCAGTATTGAGCTCGTCAGGGGTTTAAACTCAACAACAGGACAGCTGGGACGTCGATAATTCAGTCATCAACGCTATCGATGTGTCTAGTGTTGTCTGGACCGTGTAGCCTGGACCGTGTAGCCTGGACCGTGTAGCCTGGACCGTGTAGCCTGGACCGTGTAGCCTGGACCGTGTGGCCTGGACCGTGTGGCGTGGACCCGGTGGTGTTGATTCGGGTTCACTGGGTTACGGAGCCGGAATTGATATTGGGATCTATTTGTGATGAACCAAATGTATCTTATCTCTAACTTAGCCGAACTTAATCTAATGTATACGTAATCTAATCTAATTTACCCTTAACTTACCTTAACGTAAAATAAATTGCCCCTAAACTGCCCCTAACTTATCCTAACCTCCTATAAGTTACCCTAACCTAACCTGTCCTGCCTTAAAGTTAACCTAACTGTAACCTAACCTGCCCCAAATCTAACCTAACCTAACTTTTACTTAACCTGCAACCAAACTCTCAGCTTCAGTGTGAAGATTCGGGTTTATTTGGGAGAAATTAATCTTGCTTTACCTGACACACCGAGCTGGTCAAGAGGACCTTCTATTCCCTCCTGACGGTGTTGTACCCGAAGGTCAGTTCTCAGAGGTTCTCGCCCAGGTATTAGCTGGGGTCAGAATGTTAAAAGTTTGTAAACTATAAAAATATTAAATAAATCAGCCATGCAAGACAAAATCCAAAATCCCCCAAAATAGTAAGTAAAAAAATCCCCTAATTTGAGATACACGGCTTAAGATTATCATTTAATATCATTTACTATTGACCTTAAACCCGGCACGAACACGGAGGACAAAATGACTTCAAAACTGCCTTGAAACTGTACCGTAGCCAGTGACGACCAGTACGGGTGAGAAGAAGGGGGAAGGAATGGGAGGGGAAGGGAGGGGGAAGGAATGGGGAGGGGAAGGGTTAATCTTCGTGTGGGCCCCTTTGTCTTAATACTGTTGGTTTTAGTCAAAAGTTGTCACTGATAGTTTATCTCCCTGGGTTTGTTGTGTCGTACCTGGGAAAAAACACGATAACAAGTCATTAACGGATGTGAATAAGGTGAGGCGATGGAGAGGGTGTGGGGGAGGAGAGCATCTTTTTATACCACTGTTTTTTCTTCTTAAGATTTGTGACTGAGTATGTATGTATGTATGTATGTATGTATGTATGTATGTATGTATGTATGTATGTATGCATTCTCGCCTCGCAAGCGAGCGGACCCGAGTTCGATCCCCGGGCATGGTGAAACTATGGGCAAGTTTCTTTACGCCATTTGCCTCTGTCTACCCAGCAGTATCTGGAGACCTGGATGTTAATCGATTTGCGGATCGTATTCCGGGGTAATGGTTAGCCAGTGCAGTTGGCGAGTTGTCCGGTCTTCTCGGACTATTCCTTGACACTGGGTCATGCAACTCGTTAACTTGGGGTGTGGTCGTTGTGTTGGCGACATCACCTACACTTAAAACAAATTCACGCCTAGGTGGCGTTTGGGCCAGACAGACAGACAGACAGACAGACAGACAGACCGACTGACGTATCAGATAGCAAGCATGACCCCCTTTTAACCTTTCTAATGACTCCTTTTAAAATTTTTATGACCTTTCCTGGACGCGTCAGGTCATTTGAGGTCAACAGGTTTGTTTTTACCTTCGTTTTTTTATCTGTTTATTATCACTTTTTCATGGTAGACTTTCATATTTGTCTTGGGATATATTTACCCGTGTGTGTGTCAGGACTGTGGCTTATATATGTAATTCGATGTGGTGTAGAGGGTCGTTAATTCTGGAGGTGACATGACAACATGCATCTGGGGGAGGAAGGGAGATGAGGGGGGAGAGGGTTGAAACTGGAGTTGTGAGGTTGGGGAGGTGAGTGTTGAAAGAAGATGGTTTGGGGAGAAGAGAACTGATGTTGTTGTTTGTCGTAAGTGTGGTGGTGGGGTGATGCGAAGTTGTGGGGGGGAGGGAGGGAAGGAGTAGGGGCGTGGGTCAACGGGACGGGAGACTTGAGGGTCAGTGTGTGGCTGACTGGCGTGAGAGGCGGTATGCCGCTGTAGCGCTCCGTGTTCTAGTGAAAGGGACGCCCGCAGTACTGTTTACCGACAACAAATTCTCCGCAGTGTTTTGTCAAATTTTATCCCGATAACACACAACTAATCACATCTTTAAATAGAAAATAAAGACGTGTTCTAAAGTTTACAATTTGTTTATTAGTTGAAAACACACGCAAAGTACAGTTCGATAGTTGGTGACATATACAGTGCGAGTACGGCAAGAAATAGTGATTTATAAACTGACATTTCTGTGGATTATTATTACATTACGAGGACTGAGAAGACACTGTTACCTGACGACTGTGTTTAATGGTGTGTTGTGTTGTCAGAGGCCGAGTAGAGCTGATGACGGTGGTGGTGGTGAGGTAAACACAAGAGAAAACACGAAGGGAAGAAATATTTAGTGTGAGAGAGTTACAAAGAATAAATTGATTATATCCACCACAACGTTTAATATATCAGTGCGTGTAACTATAGAGAACTTATATACTTTTGATGAAACTTTGAAAAAAAATTAATTTACCTAGCACATGATCAGTGTTAGGACATTTCAATATAAGTCTGGATTACCTGTGTTAAATCGGGGTTTAAAGTGACGTTTAACCTCGTAAGTGGAATTAAAACTAGAATGCTTCAAGGATCAAGTCATCGTCTCCTGTACACAAGTCAGGTATGTTGTTATGTGTACTGAAGACATTTTAGGTTTATATGGTCCTTGGTTGTGAGGTATTGTGTACAGACTTGGGCTGAGTGGAGAGACCGGGGGTGATGGTGGGGGGAGACCTTCTTTGTTTTGGTTGTGTTTGTGATGTATATATGTGTGTGGGGGGCGGGTGTGGATGTGTGTGTGTGTGGGTGTATGTGTAGTATGTTTGTGGATGTGCATGTGTATATATGTGTATGTGTAGTATGTTTGTGGATGTGTGTATGTGAGTGTACCAGCCAGCACTCGCCTTTACCACCGCTGCATGTTTATGTCCGGTGGAAGAGCTGCCCAAGTAAACTTTTCCCTGTGGTGTGAGGTTACAACACAACATACTTTACTCGGGGCTGGCCACACTGTTTGGTCTTTATTCACTTTTATCTACTCTTTATGTACATGATGTAATATAATTATGATAGATTTTTGCTGAATGAATATATTTGTGTTTCCGTCTCAGGACTTGCTTCAACTTCTATTATTATTCCGAGTGGACGAGTGACGCAATACTGAACTTAACTCCCTCCCCCCCTCCTCCCCCCCCTTCGTGTGGGCTTACAACACACAACAAAGATTCGGTTCATACCTTCGTTGGAGGGAGCAGCCCACCTGGTACTACTTGAACGACACATTACTTCGGTTACACAGTCAATTTATCAAAGCTGGTGTTTATGGCCTCGTGAATCATTGTTAAGTACTGAAGACAAAGTTGACCAGAGGTGAGAACTATTAGTAACTGTTGATTTAACCCTTTGAGGAGGTTTAACCCTTTGAGGAGAACCCTTTGAGGATGATGGTTTAACTCTTTAGTACGTCACTGAAACATATTAACCCTTTGAGGACGGTGATTTAACCCTTTGAGGACCATGGTTTAACCCTTTGAGGATGATTTTTAACCCTTTGAGGATGATGGTTTAACTCTTTGACGACGGTGATTTAACCCTTTGAGGACGATGATTTAACCCTTTGAGGACGATATTTTAACCGTCCAGGACTCAAAGGTTTTGTTAACTTTTTTAGCTGAGAGAAAATTAGTTGTAATATATTTTTTTACTGTTAAGGTCTTACGAGAATAATAAAAATAATAAGCTTACGAAAAATAAAAACTTTCTGCGTCATCACAGTTCACCTGAGCTTGTGATAAACTTGGCGAGTGGTGTGAGGTGACAACAATACAAAGTCCCAGCTGGTCTTTCTGTTTAGTGCTGCCAGTCTCTCCAAGTGGTGTGAACTAACAACATAACAATGATTTACTCAGTTCTCCTACACATCAGCTGAAAGACTTTGTTTGTTGACGTTGTTGACACTGAACGCTAGGGCAGGTTAAGCAGACTCTGTTTACAGCTTCAGTGGCCTTGACAACCTCCCACCAGTACTAACTCAACACTAGACTTGAGCATTTTAACACCTCCTAACCTAACTTAGACGGGCATTTAACATCACCTAACCTATCCTAACCTTCCAACCTAACCTAATTTAGACGGACATTTTAACACCTCCCAGCTATGTAAACTTCCGGCTAGGAGAATACCTTGTTGTAACGACTTAAAAAATATTATCCCCATAGCGCACTAGATCAGGTATTCCCAGAAGTCTGTATATTGAATTTCCCTCGTAAGTGGAGGGATATAAGAGGGTGTATACCAGGCTTACCGACTTAAAGGTAATGGAACAAAGAATGACGCTTAATATATAATAGGTACATTACCCCTCGGACTCCAACTTAACATGATACGCTCTGTCCTCCACGGGCCAGTACGTTTAGGTGTTATGTTATACTTTAAATATCATCATCAACTCTAATACGCTGGATAGCTTCAAACAGGATGGATGGATATATGAGCAATAGGGGTTGGGTGTAAATGGGACTGCCCAGTATGGTCCAATAGGCCCGCTGCAGTTTCCTCCATTCTTATGTTTTTACGTCAGATGGCTCTATCATGTATATAGGTCGGTAGATACTGTGATAGAGTTGTTTATCCCACCAGTAGTACACTCGGTAACTGAGGCATTGTTTACGGTTTATGTTTTTTTTTTTTACGATTCTGGTCTGTCTCTCACTCACTCTCTCTCGCTTTCTCACACACACACTTTACGGTTCTGGTCTGTCTCTCACTCACTCACTCTCTCTCGCTCGCTCTCTCTCTCACACACACACACTTTACGGTTCTGGGTGACTTGATAAAACCCTGTTCTCTCTCATACTCACTCACTCTTCCCCACTTTGAACTCACACTGGGTCAGGCGGTTCCTCCGATGGCAGTGAACGCACAGTATTGTTTGTTCTGGTGTGTAAACAGAAGCAGGGAGGCAGCATACAGGGTTGGTGGGGGTGGGGGGGCACCACTGTTTGCTTGTTCTGCCTCTGGGATGTTCGTGTTGTTTACTCACGCCTGAATGATGATCTGGGGGAATCATTAACGTCTTTACATCGCGTGAACTTACAGCGCCTCGACCAGAAAGAGGCAAACAAGGATGGCCGGACTGTGTGTAATGAAGTCTTAAGTTTGTTTGCTTATATTACGGCCTGAGTGACAACAGTAGCATTAAAGAGATTTATTTGGGTGTACTCATGTTTACTATTACACACATATACTGTACACCTAGTCAATATATATGCACACTTGTACATAAACAGGCATACTTATACACACACATGCATACTTATACACACACGCACAGGCATGCTTATATACACACACATTGGTAGGTATACACACACACACACAGAATATTCAGCCAACTTCGTCTCTTTGATGTAGGTAACCCTTGAATGTTACTCTTTATCCCCTATTTGTTCCCTCTTTGTTCTCTCCTTATTCCCTCTTTAATTTCCCTTTGTTTGTTCTCTCTTTTTATACTCCCCACGTCTTTTCTCCGCCGACAGATCATGAGGAACTACGTCAATTACGTGTGATTCATGTCGATGTCCTACCACCCCTTCCCCACCACCCCTTCCCCACCACCCCTTCCCCACCACCCCTTCCCCACCACCCCTTCCCCACCACCCCTTCCCCACCACCCCTTCCCCACCGCTCCTTCCCTCTCCCCCCGAAGATTGAGCAGAGTAGTTAGCTTCGAGAAATAAGATGATTGTGATTATTTTTTATTCTTCATTCTCTCGCCCGTTCTGTAAATATACAGGTAAGGCAAATGTTCAAGGTCCTCAGGTGATGTTCTTTTATGTATTCGTTAATGGAGTTATGAAGAAAATAGAAGATAATATGCCCCAGGAAAGAAGAAAAATGTTCTTGGTGAGAAAAAAATGCCTCGAGGACTAGAAAAAATGCCTCCGTGTTACCTTAGTGTGTGTGTGTGTACCTGTGTCTACCTGTGCATTGATCACGCCTCTCGGGACTCCCTCACCTCGGTGTTGATTTATCCAGTGTCGCTTTTTTTTTTCACCTGAATTATTCCTGTTGTCGGGATACCTGGTTCAAGGGGTAGCAGCGTGGAGGTGGACTAATACCCAGGGTAAAATGTTTTGTTTATCGTTATAGAGTTGATGGTTTGGTTAGGGTTTAGTTATAGGAATAATATTGATGATGATGCTAATAATAATAATAATGTTAATAATAATAATAATGTTAATAATAATACGACGACATTATACTCGGGGGATTAAATTATTGTACTCAACAGGTAAACCTGTCTTAATTAATGGACTAAGTCAATATGCTCAGGGTAGTGAACTCGTCGTACTCAAAGGGGTCAAATCGTACTCAAGGTGGTTAAATCATATACTCAAGGTGGTTAAATCGTACTCGAGGGTTTAAATCGTAATCAAGGCGTTAAGCCGTAAAACTCAAAGGACCCCCGGGGTGTCTTCTACAAACATTTAATATTAAACAAATTTACCCCCAAACGCTAACGGTAATAAGTACATGTCACTCACCTGCCCAGTACACGACACCTTGAGGCCAGGTAAATGTACGAATGTGTTTGTTTAGTTTTGTTTGAAGATAAACTTAGATCCTTAGTGGGATTCGAACCTGCGTCTTTGAGTAAACCACATTGTGATCATTGATATTGTTATGGTTTATTTTTGAAGTGTCGAGTTAATGTGAGTTACAGTTAAGTGGTTATTTACACAGTGTTGAGAGAGAGAAGTAGAGAGACGTCAGAAATAAAACACATCACAGGGAGACATCACAAGACACTGAGGAGTATAGACTCGCAACATATGGAGATATCCTATAGGATTTTATAACGATCCCACGCTACTGGTCGACATCCTGCAGGACACCATGACGTCAGTAAACTCGTGCAGTGGGAAGATTGAAAATAGGAGCGACAATAGAGCGCGGGCGAGCAGATCCTTCACGCTGCTACGCCGGTCTGGTACAAAGCTGGATTATCAGGGTACAGAGGCCCCGGGGCGTGTGTTTGTCGAGGGGGGCGGCGGGTGGTGGAGAGGGAGTCTGGGCGTAGGTAAATGGGGAATGGGAGATGAAGGGACAGTGGGTGTTGGTAGGGGTTGGGGGAGGCAGGGTAGGGAGGAGGTGGGACTTGGTAGGGTAGGATAGGGTGGGGAACAGTGGATGTAGGTGGGGTTGGGGGATGAGGGGGGAGGGGGTAGTGAGGAGGCTTTTCTCTCATCCTATTGTTTGACATCTGCGTCTCTTTTTGTAGGATATGTTATTTTTTTTTCCACACTATAAAATGTATACAGTAGGAACACAAACGCGGTAAAAAATTGACGCCATAACCCCAAGCCAGAGAGGTTGTGTGTTTACCATCTGAGGACCGCTGGAAGTTAAGGTTACCGAGCGCCCGGTGTACTGTATAATAGATTCTGGAAAAAAATATCCCAAAGTGTTTAAAATCTAAGAGCCCCTTACTATTTATGAGTATAATAGCCTTCTACCTATGCTATTTATGAGTATAATAGCCGGAAAGATCACCGTATAATAGCCTTCTACCTATGCTATTTATGAGTATAATAGCCGTCAACCTATGCTATTTATGAG